ATATGTAAATAAAAATTATGATTTATCAGACTGATCAATTTTTGAGCACACACGTAGCCTAATAATAAATTGCACAATACCTCCAATTCTACTCAAGATAATATTTTAGAACAAAATAACGGACAAATAAATAGCTACTTAAGTATGTATATTACCAAATATTACTCATCAAACAACTTAAAAAAAAGTCTGTCATCCTTGATACTTTTAGTATGGTACGAACGTGAATAACATAACAGTGACGAGCCACAATTCAGCTCTACTCATCTGCTACATTTTTCTCATACATTCTTTGAAAAAAGATAGAAAATAATGATGTTCTAGATATTTCAGGTTTTATCTGTAGTATATAAACAAATTAAATTTTTGACTGGATTTCAGTGAACGATCAGATCTTGTTTACATACTATATAAACGGTTTATAAAAAATTGTAAAATATATCTAATTGTGTATTAAGATGTCTGCACCAACGAAATCGTTAAATGGTACTTTTAAAATTCCTGTTGTTGGACTTGGTACAGGAGGCGCAGGACATGAGGTAAACTGTTGTATTTGATTTTTTATTTTTTTGTTTGATTTTGTTTTAATTTCAATTTTTTTTAAAATTTTAAATCTTAATTCCCGTTATAGTGGAGTGCCCAGAGATTTTACCTCGTAATTCAGTTACTGTGAATGTGAAACCTTCTGTAATGTGTTTAATAGATAACATACTAAAATGTTTAACTTTTTTTCGTTGCTTTTATTTTTTATTTTAGTAATTTTAGTAAATTCTTAGTTATTTCCTTCTTAATCTTTTGATTTTTTAATTTTTTTCTCTGTAAATTTATTGAAATAAATAAATCTAATGCATAAGCTATACCTATTCTGCTTATATTCTAATCATTGAAATGGAATTATACAGGGTGGCGCGTCATATACGACGCGGTTTTTGCAAAGAGAACAAAAGTTTTGTGAGCTTATGTAAGTCAATTTAAAGCATTCTCTAAAATGATATAGAGTTCTACAGGGTGTCCCAAAAAAAAATTACATATCAAAGTTGTGTTTTTTTGTAATGGAACACCCTATATATTAAGTGATTTTCGGATTTTAGTAAAAAAATAAAAGCGGGTTTATTAGAAAAGTATACGACTAAAATGTATAGTTTTTAGTAAGTCGATCGTCTCGATTAGAAGTTCCTGGACGTCTAGATTGACGTCTTCATGGACGTGGTCATAATTCAAAAACCACTCAGTATACTCTATGATATTAAGGTACTTTTGGAACCGAAATTTTATAGCAAATTCACTGAATAAAACAAATATAAAGCACTTCATTTGAAAAACTAAAACGTAAGTGTAGAAATATATTTGACTCGCTCTGTATATCTATAAAAATATTTTTAAAATGTGAACTACCATTAAATGCATATTTTGTCAAAGGTATGGAGTGAAAATCTCAAATAGAAATCCTGATACAGAGGTTTTTCGGAACACGGAGCCATCTTGTATGTATGCATTTGTATATGTGTGTTTATTTAAATACCTACTAAAGTGTAAAAGCAACGAACTTAAATGGGTAAATTTTGTAATATATCTTATTAACAATACAATGCAAAAAGTTTTATAAAAATTCGTTCAGAGTAAATGAATTCCGAGGTTTGTGTCCCATAAGTGCTTAAAGCACTCCATTATTAGTTAATGTCTCAAGGGAGTTATGGCTCTGTTTATGGTTTTGCGTATCCAAGACTATATAAGCTTATATTAATTAAGATATAAAATATTTTTGCAGACTGCTAATGAAGAAGCCTTAGAGACAGCATTGGAAGTGGCCCTGGAAACAGGGTACAGGCACATAGATACAGCCTATGCTTACAAAAACGAGCACGTTATTGGAAAGGTACTAAAAAAATGGATTTCATCAGGCAAAGTCAAGAGAGAAGAGCTGTTCGTTACTACTAAGTTACCTATGGAAGCTGTAAACGCTGACAGGTGAATAAAATCACTATATTACTAATTTCTTATATCTGAATAAATTAGGCAAAGAAAACAAAGTCCTCACCTAGGGATAGAAGGCAATGAAAAAGCAAATAATCTAGCTAGGAAAGGAGAAAACACTCCACTAACTGGACCAGAACCGTTCTGCTTTCCAAGTGGTAACCAACTCAAGGCGGAACTCAAGAACTTGGAAGATTCCATCCGCAACCTGGAATGGAAATCTTGCAATGGTCTAAGACACTCGAGGAAGTTTCTGAGGGCTTATGGTCAAGAAAAATCACAGATCTTCCTGGGTCTGAGTAAGAACAATCTTCGGATTTTCACGGGGTTTTTAACAGGACACTGTCTCCTCAATGAACACCTCAGTAGATTGAAACTAAGAAGAAACGGCGAATGCAGATTCTGTGGGGAAGATGGTGAAACACCAGTACACCTCATCACTGAGTGCGCCGAGACGACAACCATTCGTGCCATGAATTTTGGCAAACGACTGATATTGGAGATGGAGAACTACCTTCTATAAAACCGTCCCAGATACTGGCTTTTGTCAAAGCCCTGGGACTGTATGATGAGTTATGGTTCAAGAAAGGGGGACACAATGGATCTGTAAGGTCGAAGTGATTAACCCCCCTCCCACTCATTCTAAATTCTAAAAATTCTAATTTCTTATATTATGTAACGATCATTTTTTTTAATTAAAATTATTAGTAAAAAAAATAATACTAGTTTCCCGTATCTGATATTGTTATGCAATAATACACAATTAATTTCAAAAATTACGTCCGAAAAATTCTCCGAAAAAAATATATTTCTGTGTATTTTAGAGTCGAACCATATTTGAAGAAATCTTTGGAAAGACTTCAGTTGGATTATGTAGACTTGTATTTGATCCATTTTCCGATTTGTACCAAACAAATTGACATATTTCAGAGTGCAAAAATTGAAACTGAACCCACTGATCACCTAGCTGTTTGGAAGGTAATTTCTTTATTGCCTTTTTATTATTCCATAACTCACTCTGTATATTATATTAAATAATCTTATCAATTTTTTTTTAAATTATTGTTTGTTGAGTATTGTTTTTCTTTATTTATTCAAATGTAGAATGTAGGCTGTAGACTGTAGACTGTAGACTGTAGACTGTAGACTGTAGACTGTAGACTGTAGACTGTAGACTGTAGACTGTAGACTGTAGAATGTAGAATTAATAGTAGTAGTTTTTTTCTGTCACATTATATTCTTTTATAGAAATTGGAAGAGCAAGTCGACGCAGGCCGGACCAAAACAATAGGATTATCAAATTTCAACGTTAAACAAATAGAAAGAATTTTGAAAAATGCTAGAATCAAACCAGCGCAGCGTGCCTGCAAATAGAAATTCACGTCTTCCTTCCCCAATATGAACTGGTTAAATATGCGCAAGATAATGGTTTGGTAGTGGTCGGGTTTTCTCCTTTGGCCAACCCTGGAGCTCACGTATTTTTCGAGAGATTAGGATTACCGTAAGTCACAATAATTAGGAATTTTATATTTTAATTTGAAACTTATTTATTTTAATTCTTTTTGAGTAAACTTTACTTATCATATATTCGGAACCTAAGGAAATGAGTAAAGATAGAACAGTTCTAAAATATTATTATCCATTTTTGCTTAATTTTTCTGTTTTTTGCAGACACAAACAATTGCCTAGCATGTCAACTGACCCCACAATCAATCGCATAGCCCAGAAGCATAAGAAAGGGCCCGCACAGATCATGCTTAAATATCTACTCCAAAGAGACATCGTCGTGATCCCCAAGAGCATATCTCCCAACAGAATCAAAGAGAACTTTGATTTATTTGATTTTACTTTAGAACAAACGGATTTGGATGATTTGAAGAAACTTGATCTTGGAGAAGATGGTAGAGTCTTCGATTTCGCTTTTTCAGAAGAGTAAGTTTTTTTGATTGTGCTTGTTTACTGATTTTGCGTGTATAATTTGATTAATTAATTATTCAGTAATTATTAATATTGTTTTTTTCAGGTTTCCGAAACATCCTGAATGGCCACTGGCTCCTAAAGAAATCAAGTGATTTTTATTTTATAAGTATTTTTAATTTTTACATTATTTTGTTACAAATTTAATTTATATATCTAAAACAATAAAATTTATTTATAAGTACATGCGTAATAAGTGTTTTTATTCATATATTATACAGAGCAATAAGAATTACGAATATATTCTAATAAACATTATTAGATTATAAAGAATTACATTAGCCTACTACCTATTCTCCATTGAATATCGGAATAATATACTGGGTGTTCTATTTAAAACAAGAGAGTAACATGCTTTTAAAGGTAACCAATGTTCAATGTTAATTTTGTCTCACCCTGTATAACTTTTTGGATCAAGTTTTAATTTGATTTAAAGTACAATAGTTAATTTAACTACATATTAGGCTATACCGGGTAAATTCCAATTTAGGTAGCTTTTATTGTAATTTAAAAATTATTGTTGAAAATGTTAAATAATATTCAAAAACCTTACATTTTAGTCATATACTTCTATAAAACTCACCTTTATTTTTCTCCCAGAATTCGAAAATCAACTAATGTATAGAGTGTTCCAAATTACAAAAAACACAACTTTGATATGTAACTTTTTTTGGGGACACCCTGTAGAACTCTCTATATTTTTAAAAAGTGCTCTGAATTAACCTACATATGCTCAATAATTATCTAAAAAGATTGGATATACAGAGTGAGTCTGAAATATATGCAAAAATATTTAAGGGTGGTATATTTCGACCCCAGGACCACGTCTATGAGGTTTTTTCGCAAAATAAGTTATTGAAAATCGTAAATTTAAAAAAAAAAGTTCTAAAAAGAACAAGGCATGCATGTGCCAATTTGACATTATATATTTATAATGTATATTACATAACTCAAAGTTTAATTTATATATCTTATAGTAAACATTACATCATTAGATAAAAATCTGTAAATCTTTATACAGGTTCTCGTAATAGCGCTCCTATTTTCATTAGACAAACTCAGTACTAACAGTTCAAAACGCATGCTCATATCTCAGTCACTTCAAACGTACGTAGGGCAGATAAGATACATCATTTTGTATTGTCAGTCAAACATATAAATTCAATTCGTTTAGCAGTTGTTGCTGAAGTCTACTTAATCGCTTTAAACAGTTATAGTATCAGATAGTACCGGTGATAATGGTGGTACCCAATGCTTTGTTATTAGGAAAATATGAGTTTCCTGTCGTCGGTTATGGTACCTGGCAGGTGAGTCCTTGACATAAAATGATTCGTTTGGTACATAATTCGTCTGTTATTATTTTAAATTGTTTGCCTATTAGACTAGTATGAAATCTTGTGTGATATTTGAATAGTTCTTATCACTATAATTTGTTTTAAACATAAAATGTTAATAAAATAAAGATATTTACCTAATTTATACAATTTTGAATAGTTTTTCTTTCTTTCTTTGTTTTTTTTTTGCTTCTACAGACTAGTAGGGGAGATGTACCCTTAAAAGTTCGTAATTTTGTGTTAATTAGGCTAAGTTTACATTTTTATTTTTCAAATATTTTTTTAGATTGTATATTTTTGTTCAAATAAAATTATTTTCTGTTAAAAAAACTATTAAATTTCGATGACTATTTAAAATTACTTGTACAAATAACGCGCTAATGAGAATGACGTTTCGAAAATAAGAAAAGATGACTTGTAAATTGGAGATTTTAGCAAAAAAAAATAGATAATTTCATATTTTAAGTTGAGATTATGAATAATAGGACATTACTAATTTAATTATTTAGACGGTTTCTGAAAGGTATAACAAAAATTAATTATTTTAATAGTCCAACAATGAAGAGGAACTTGAAAAAGCTTTGAACGCAGCTCTAGAAACCGGATACAGACATATAGACACAGCTTACATATACAACAACGAGCATATCATAGGGAAAGTGCTTCAACAATGGATATCTTCAGGAAAACTCAAGAGAGAAGAACTATTTATAACAACAAAACTACCTATGCAAGCTATACATGAAGATAGGTGAGTAAACTTTATAACGTTTTCTTTATATGAAATAAGTATTACAGTTGGAGGTAGGAATTTTTGGTGTTACACAGCAAAATAAAACACTAAATCACTACAATACACCAAAACACTTTTACTTTTACACTGGACGCGCGTTTCGCTAACCATGTTAGCATCATCAGCAGATGATTAAGCTAATATTAGTCTTCTAGTTTGCCCAACATATTTTTGATTACAATCTTTACAAGAAATTTCATAAATACCCGACATTTCCAGTGGAGGTGTTTTATCCTTTGGATTACCTAATAATTGTTGTAATTTATTATTAGCACTATACACAAGTTTATAATTGACATTCTTAAAAATTCTTTTTAGACCACGGGATAACTCTCTATCAAACGGTATTGAAAAATATTTTGACGTATCTTTCTCCGCTTGAAGAGTCGAATTTTCAGAAATCATTGACCTATACCTACGTTTTCTAATTATTTTATCAACTAGTGAAGGAGAATATCCATTACACTCCGCTGTATTCCTAATGGAATCTCTCTCTATTTCATATCTTTCGTTGGTAAGTGGAAAACTAAGTAATTTATGAACTAAGAAATTGAAACTAGCCATTTTATGTTCACTATGATATGATTCATTAAGAATATATCTGCGTGTAGTGGTATTTTTCCTATAGATATCAAATTCCAGGCAATTATTACTATTTCTAATAACTAATACATCTAGTAATGGTAATCTGTCGTTGTTCTCAATTTCATGTGTAAATTTAATGGAAGGAAAACGATTATTTAACTTAGAAATAAAATTATCTACAGTGTCTGAATGTGTGTCAAAAACAGCAAAAATATCATCCACATACCTAAACCATACTCTTGGAAAATACCCAAACTGATTCTTAGCCTCCACTTCAAACCTGCTCATGAATAAATAAGCCAAAAAATGGAGACAATGGATTACCCATTGCTGTACCTTCCCGCTGTTCAAAAAAGTTGTTATTAAATTGAAAACAATTTTGTTTCATATATAACGATGTAAGCTCAATATATTCAATCACAGTTTTATTGTCGAGACCATTTGCGTTCAGTAATTCCTTCAAGTAGCCTAAGGTATGTGGAATTGGAGCATTTGGAAACAACGAAGACCAAATTTCACCTTCATGCAATGTAATATTATTAATTTTGTTAATGATCAGTTTAATCATCAATCTGCTGATGATGGTAACATGGTTAGCAAAACGCGCGTCTAGTGTAAAAGTAAAAGTGTTTTGGTGTATTGTGGTGATTTAGTGTTTTATTTTGCTACGAAATAAGTAGTTTTAATAATATGTTCTGGAGTACAATGGAGTTTTGAAGAATCTCACTAAAATTTTCTAAAAGAAATAAAAAGTAAAATTAATTTTATATTTAATATTTATTGCAGAGTTGAACCATTCATAAAAGAATCTTTGGAGAGGTTGCAGCTGGATTATGTAGATTTGTACCTGATCCATTTTCCAATATGTACCAAACCTAGAGAAGCATACTCAAAAGTACCGTTCGAAGTTGACGACACAGATCACATAGCTGTCTGGAAAGTGAGTATCTTTTTTGAAGAAAGTATATATGCATAGCGTTAGCCCGTTTCATAGCATTGAAGCATTACATGAAAAAAACAGTATTAAAAACGCTTTTTGACTAAAACTTTTTTGATCCTTCTTTGTGTCCTCGTCTTTTTTATTTAATGTTCGTGCTCTAAAATTATATAAACAAGTTTGCTTTGACTTTCTTTTAGTCAAAATATTTTAGGAAATAAAAATGACATATTTATAAATATATAAACAGTTATTATTAACAGCAACAAAACTCAGCTCCTTAACAGCACTTAAGGAACATAAATGTCCTTTACTACCGCTTTCCCGTTTAAAATATTCTAATATGGTTGCGATAAATTTTTTGCAATGGCAATTAAGCTGTTTTGAACATTCCGCACTAAAAGAGTTTCTAAAAAGAACAATGTTCGAACACAATTCATTTAATAAATGAATTGTAAAGTAAAAGAAAATAAATGAATAAATTAAGCAACTTGATATTTTTTACAGCAAAGCTACCACCTGTGATTCGTATCGTATATTTCTCACTTTATTGATTTTATGGAAAGCACTGTTCATTACAACAGTTTCCTGTCTCACAATTCCATGACAACTCTCACAATTCCAATTACAACAATTTCCTGTCTCACAATGTTCCGTTTGTGTCGGGGAAGGGATCATAGTTTCATAGTTGTCGATTTTTTGAAAGAAATCAGTACATGTATATTATTTTCGTATATTTTTTCATTTTATTGATTTTATGGAAAGCACTGTTCATTAAAATGTTGTATCCTATATTATAGGGCTTGTTTCTCTCTACAATTTCCCTGTCTCACAATGTCCCGTTAGTGTCGGGGAAGGGATCATAGTTTCATAGTTGTCGATTTTCGAAAGAAATCAGTACATGTATATTATTTCGTATATTTTTCATTTTATTGATTTTATGGAAAGCACTCAGTACGGAGACCTCAGTGCGGATCTCAGAACTCGAATGGCCAGATGCTACGTCTTCTCTGTGTTACTCTATGGATGTGAGAAGCTGGACACTGGATTCACAGACCTAGAAGAGAATAGAAGTCTTCGAAATGAAGTACTCCAGCGCAAGCAGAAACAAAAAGAGATACTGAACACCATCAAGGAAAGAAAAATGCAATACCTGGGTCATGTGATGAGGGGTGGTAGATACGAAATACTGCGCCTCATAATAGAGGGTAAAGTGCAAGGGAAAAGATCAGTAGGAAGACGCCAGAACTCATGGCTAAAAGATTTGAGGAGATGGTTTGAACGCTCGTCTGCGGAAATCTTCCGGGCTGCAGTTTCCAGAGCCACAATTGCCATTTGGATCGTCAACCTTCGGCAGGAGAGGGCGTGATAAGAAGAAGAAGGAAAGCACTGTTCATTAAAATGTTGTATCTTATGTTATAGGGCTTGTTTGTCTCTACAATTTCCTGCCTCACAATGTACCGTTTGTGTCGGGGAAGGGATCATAGTTTCATAGTTGTCGATTTTCGAAAGAAATCAGTACATGTATATTATTTCGTATATTTTTAATTTTATTGATTTTATGGAAAGCACTCAGTACGGAGACCTCAGTGCGGATCTCAGAACTCGAATGGCCAGATGCTACGTCTTCTGTGTTACTCTATGGATGTGAGAAGCTGGACACTGGATTCATTGGAACCTAGAAGAGAATAGAAGTCTTCGAAATGAAGTACTCCAGCGCAAGCAGAAGAAACAAAAAAGAGATACTGAACACCATCAAGGAAAGAAAAATGCAATACCTGGGTCATGTGATGAGGGGGTGGTAGATACGAAATACTGCGCCTCATAATAGAGGGTAAAGTGCAAGGAAAAGATCAGTAGGAAGACGCCAGAACTCATGGCTAAAAGATTTGAGGAGATGGTTTGAACGCTCGTCTGCGGAAATCTTCCGGGCTGCAGTTTCCAGAGCCACAATTGCCATTTGATCGTCAACCTTCGGCAGGAGAGGGCGTGATAAGAAGAAGAAGGAAAGCACTGTTCATTAAAATGTTGTATATTATGTTATAGGGCTTGTTTGTCTCTACAATTTCCTGCCTCACAATGTACCGTTTGTGTCGGGGAAGGGATCATAGTTTCATAGTTGTCGATTTTTGAAAGAAATCAGTACATGTATATTATTTCGTATATTTTTCATTTCATTGATTTTATGGAAAGCACTGTTCATTAAAATGCTGTATCCTATCTTATAGGGCTTGTTTCTCTCTACAATTTCCTGTCCCACAATGTACCGTTTGTGTCGGGGAAGGGATCATAGTTTCATAGTTGTCGATTTTTGAAAGAAATCAGTACATGTATATTGTTTCGTATATTTTTCATTTTATTGATTTTGTGGAAAGCACTGTTCATTAAAATGTTGTATCCTATGTTATAGGGCTTGTTTGTCTCTACAATTTCCTGTCTCACAATGTCCCGTTAGTGTCGGGGAAGGGATCATAGTTTCATAGTTGTCGATTTTCGAAAGAAATCAGTACATGTATATTGTTTCGTATATTTTTCATTTTATTGATTTTGTGGAAAGTACTGTTCATTAAAATGTTGTATCCTATGTTATAGGGCTTGTTTCTCTCTACAATTTCCTGTCTCACAATGTACCGTTTGTGTCGGGGAAGGGATCATAGTTTCATAGTGATTTTAAAAGAAACCGTACTCTAGAGCTCTTATTATTCTTTAACTTTTTTATTTTTCTAGAAACTTGAGGAGCAGGTCGATGCTGGAAGAACAAGAACCATTGGCGTATCGAATTTCAACATCAAACAAATAGACAGGATAGTGAAAAATTCCAGAATTAAACCTGCCTGTTTGCAGGTGGAAATCCACGTGTTTTTGCAACAAAGGGAATTGGTAGAGTTTGCTCAGAAGAACGGAGTGGTTGTTGTAGCTTACTGTCCATTGGCTAATCCTGGAATCAATAAATTCTACAAGAAGTTAGGACTGCCGTAAGTACACGAACATCGTGACGTAACATTACAACACCCAAAAAAAGACTATACTATATAGAACCAATGACTAAAGAATATAAGAACATGTAACGCCCATATACGGGCTGCAGCAGAATGTGTGACCTTAGACGCCATTCTTTTGATGGCAAACAATGAGTCATCATCTGGCCACCACCGACAATTTTAGCGATTTTTAATAGTTTGTGTGTAGTGAACTTTGTATAAACTTTATTACAATGGTGATTAGTTGTTCAGCTTTCAAGTGTAAAAGCAACAGATATAAGAAAGAGCCAGGAGTTACGTTTCATAGGTAAATAAAGTGTCCGCTCCACCTTTTTAGCGTTTTCTTAGTTTTGACGGGCAGTTTATATCGACAATATTAGTGTTCGTACTCTTTAAAAAATTTGTTACATTTTTAAAAATATTCCAAAATGTCAATATTCCATGGGTATATTGATAAATGAGGTCTAAATTATAAGAAAATGCATTTTCTACGAAAACTTGAAGAGATAGGTAAAAAAAGGTATAAAACAATTTGATAGACAATTAAACTGTGCATGTGATTCTCATAAAATATACATGGTGTTTCATTTAAATTAAACAAGTTATTGCCGTTTAAAGCTAGTAATTATTTAAAATAAAATTTAAGAAACTCTGAATAAGGTACGTAGTATAATTTTTATTATTGCATCACAAAATTTAGTAAATAGAAATACTTCAGTACAATATTTGGTTTTAAGAACTTAAATACGCCTAGAGAAATAAACCATTAAAATTATTACTGTATTTTGACAAAAACCTAAATATTTCAAAAACGGTAAGACTAAAATGCGGTAAACCTTAATGAAATTTACCTTTTATATATGTTTTACTTATTTGGGACACTCTGTATCTTGTAAAAATATTTTTAAATTGTAGCTCTAATAGTCCTTTAACAAACCCAAAACTTATAATTTGCAAAAATCTAATCGTTTAGCTACAATACTCCGTGTCGTATGTGGTGAACAACCCTGTATAACATCAAAGATACTATTTTGAAAAAAAAAAATAGAAACTTTTACCACCCTGTATCCAAAAAGTTAAGATGTTTAGGACATACATTAATATCAATTTTTTTTCTTAGAATTAAAGAAAAACCAGTATATTAACTTTTTTTGTAAGGTATGAATGTTCTCTCTCTATCAGTTTTAATATCTCTGGTGGTGCCCCTCTTCACTCTGGCACTTCATCGAAGCGACAGGGCTCCGGCCAGACCCGTTCAACCGGCAAATTAGACCAAAAAACAATTAGTTCATAAATATTCATCATCTTAATTTCGGAACATCGTACAGAGAGCCGAGGAGGCTTCTTGTCGATTGCGTTTTTCGGGCGCTCTTGTTCGTTTTGACGTTTATGGGAGCACATTTGACAGGCCTTTTTGTATTTAAAACAGCCCGAAAATATGATTTTTGATGTTCCGTTCTTTAATTTGTGCACAGGGTGTCAAAGAAATAGTGCATCTAATTTCCGTAGATGATTCTACAGATAAAATTATCAAAAAATAGTTATATTTGTATCCACTGTGCGAAGTGCTACTTTGGTGATCGATAGTTGATTAATTTGTCGAGATCACCAAAGTAGTTTGCGCACGACTTGCAAACAACATTTTTTCTACAAATATTAAAATCGGGATATCCCTAAAAATTATTATTATTATATTATTGCTTCGAAAAAAAAACGTGAGCTTGGAATGTATGTTTCTTTTTATTACTGAACATCGTCATCGATTTCCTTTTAGGTCGTTTTTATACTTGGTATTTCTAGTGCTTGCCGCCGTGAGGAACTTACAAAAATGACGGTCGATAACATAGAATATAAAGATTCAATTTTGATTGTTAAAGTACCCGATACAAAAACAAACATAGACAAAGTCTTTACAGTGTCAAATTTGAATTATATTGAGATTTACCGAAAATACGCAGCTCTTCGTCCAAGAAATGCTACCAGTCGCAGATTGTTTCTAAAATATCAAAATAAAAGATGTGTTAACCAAGTGGTCGGCATAAATTCTATTAGTAAGATGCCTGGCATGATAGCAAAACACTTGAAGCTGCCAGATTATGAGGCCTACTACTGGGCATTGTTTCCGGATGATTTTAACCATACTCTTTGCTAATGCACGGGGTGATATATTTAGTTTGAAGTGCCAAGGAAGATGAAAATCTTCGACAAATTTTAGTGTCAAGTACCTCTACTTTAAAATTGGATAGTGTCTCAAGTTCCAAAACCCTCATATCTCAAGCAAAATCAGAACTATCTAGTTTGGGATTAAATATTGCTTCTGGTTGCACTATTAATGTTAATATTGTAAATAATAACTAGAATATGCATTAGCGTTAAGTTTGATATGTGTTATTTCTTTATTCTTGAATATTTCGAAATAAATAATTAGCTATGATTTAGTTCTTCATTTTCCAAAAATCAAAATTCGAAAATCCCATATAATTTACATGCAGTGTGCGAAATAGGCATTTCGCGCATTACTTCGCGCACCGTGTCATGGTAACGTAGAAAAATAAAAAAAAGTGTCACTTCGCACGTTGCTATCAATTCGCGAACCTAGTCATTTTTTGACGTTTGTAGAAAAAAGTTATTTACTGTTATTTATCGAGAAAAAGACCTCATTCTTTCGCAAAAGTTCGTAAAGTAAGTTAAAACAATGGTTGATTGGGTGTAACGCAAGTTAGTTTAATACAGTGAGCGGAAAAGAAAAAGTGTATCGTGTACAAAGCGATTATGACAAAAGTTATAAATAGTTTTATGTCAAATAATGAAATAATGAGTAAACTGCTGGGCCAGGTTCACTACTGAAAACAGCTGAAAATTTTGCTTTATATACAGCGTGTCAAAAAATGTATACTGGTAAAGACACCCTGTATACTGGTAAAGGGTAACTTCAATACGTTTAACTTTTTATGTTAGATTTTTTTCTATTTTTACGTCTGTTTACGGCCATATTGTTTCCATAGAACCGCACCAATACCGCGTGTAAACTATACGAAATTTACAGCTTTACCTCAGCAGGGGGCTCGACATTTATCTTTCTGCTGCCACTAGAAGGTGGTCCCTGTTTTTTGATATCCTTCTTTCTCTCTCTCTCTCTTTCTACCTCTTCGTATCTTTTCCTATACTGTTGCCCGCGATCACCTACAAAATTCAAATATCTGATGGCATCACGCGGTGGGTGTACCCAGCCATATTAAATTTATTCTGGCAAGTGTGGAACAGTTATTTAGTAGTTTAGTATTCAGAATTTTCAAACTTTTAAAAGTCTATTACGCTGTACTGTCGCACAGTGCTTCGAACATATGGCTCTAGAGGACGAAAATGCAATTTATCCAAACTAGGTTTATTTGACACAAATAATGAGTACTCTCATTGTATAAAATGATGATGTTCTTAGTCCCACGTTTATGAAAAAAAATCTTATAAATAATAAAAATGTTGGAGCTGTGTTCCATCTAAGAAAATAATAATTTATAGTATGAAAACGGTGTAAGTATTAAATAAATCCCTGTGATAAAAAAGAATTGGAATAACATTAGAACATGATTCTTACAATATAAACCTAATATAAGATAAACATGTGGTTTTTTCTTTAATGAAAAAGAGACATTAATTATATTTATTTAAAAAAAACTTAAGATACTATAAATTTACTTTAGGGACAACAAAATGCATAGATCGTAACTACTCTGATTCAGAAGAATCACTGCTGACAGAATCTTCCAAATTTATAGTATCCAAATCACAGGTAGATGAAATATCTTCACATATAAGATATTTTTGTACATAATTTTCTAATATGTTACTTTTTCGCGTTGTTACTGTTCGTTTTGTTGGTATGAGGGGTTTGGGTGTTAATAGTTACCTCTTTAATAGACCATATCCATATATTATTTTTTCGTTCTCTTGGATATGAGGTTTTATAATAAATTGAAAGATGGATACTATCTAATAAAGAACACATTTTTTGAAATACAAATAATTTTGAGTTCTTGTCCTTATGATCAAGCCAAGTATTAACCAGATCGGCATTGCTTATCAATTTTACTCCATCTGAAAAGTATTATAAAATAAAGTTCGTCGCAAGCAGACGCAGGTAAACTATACAAAAATTAAAAGTGTATGAATATGACAACAAAAATATTCAATAAATACGATATGCTTTGACATGTTTTTTTAATGCCTTTTTGAAGTTTGTAAACGTAAAATGTTTATACCCATTTAAGAATCATCTTAATAAATAAATAAAAACTAAACAATCACGAACTTGTTTAGAAATAAATTTAAAGTACATACCATGTTTAACAATATCCATAGTGGCTTTCAATTAAGTACGTGCCGTTTAACTCCATATACAGAACTACCATGAATGTTATTTCTTTCACTGATATAAGATAATGATCGGAAAATTTATTTTTAATGAAAATATTTGCTAACAAAAAACGCTGTTTATGAAATATAATATACAGGATGGTTGAGCATTGCTATAAGTATAAAATTACATATTCAGATATTAGTAAATTTTAACTTTTTTTTCGATTTTTGTCCATGGGACGAAGCACTGTGTGTCGTGTCCATAGATTTAGAAAGAACAGATAGCACATTATGATTTTAACCCGATCAAACATTCGGAGGTTGACTACGTACTGTAAAAACCAACTGAGATAGAGAAGGCGACATTGCCACATATCAAATTTGCGCCTATCTACTTAGTTTGATTTGCAGAAAAGGTGACTTTAAAACCTTCACCGGATATCAATAAATCTCAATTTCTTAATTAAATTAATAGTTTATTTTTAAAGAAGCATGCGTAATAGTATGTTATTAACCAGAGGATATATGCGTTACTATTAAAGGACATGTTTACTGTTTAATGTGCTGAAACGTCTAGAACTATTGGCAACGTCGCTGCTAGTCTTCCAGAACGAAATGAGCCGTCCGTCCCACCACCCCTCGCAACGGCCCATGGTCCGTTATAGC